ACTGAAGTATAAATGCAGAATTTAGAACATAAGAGAAAACGAATGGTTTTATGGTTTTTGTTTTATCAAGAACAAAATCAGAGTAAAACTTATTTTTTATTTATAAAACTTAATTCAATCTAGAATTCATTGAAATTCTTATGGAACTTCCTTGAATGAGTGTATTATTTTTTACAAATATAACTAAATCTCTTAGGGAAAAGTTTGAAAAACCTGCCAAATATAAGTAGAACAGGTACGATTAAATGAAAAATGGTATTTTTTAGCTACCTTCCAACGGATACATCGACTGATTTTTTTAATAATCTGATAATTAACCTTTTTTTTTTCAAAAATACAGAAAAAGAAACTAAAATCTTTGCAGGCTTTTAAGTAAAAATTTGATTCCAAACTCTTGATTTATTTTAAAGTAAAAGTACCGATATAAGAAAAGAAATGATCGATTTAATGTATTATATTTAAAAAATGAAAATTTTAAGAAAAAAACACCTCTGTATTTCATCCCTGAGGAACTTTTAGTGACATGAAATGTGTCTAACTTTTAGAAGAGTTCTATATTTCAGTAATCATTGCATGGATTGTGTAAACAAGAAAAAACTTGATTTTTTAAGTTTCTTTTAAGTTTTTTACGTATGCTATTTATTCATCTCTCTTAGCTAGAACTCCTCGCATAAAGTAAGTTCCCAGAGCATTTATTTTCTACGACACGTTCGATTCTCTTTCAAATAAGAATTTTAGATAAAAATTTTCAAATAAATTTCACAATAAAATCAAAATTTATTCTTTAAAATTTGAGGGTAAGTACTGTTTGGGAAGTCATAAGTTTTGAATTTATTAAACACGTAACTTTACTTATAATTTGCATAAAGGATGTATGTATCAGGTTCATAAAAAATATTAAACGTTTCCGAAAAGGATGTTTGTTCTGTCCTAAGCATCTTCCACACGTAAATTTAAGATATTTCACATATTCATAAGTGCAACTATAAAAAAACTCAAAATTGACTTCTATTCGAAATGTAGCTATGAGTCATCAAGCTGAAATATTAAAATTATGAAATATATTATTCTTGAAAGAAAGCTTTTTGATATCTATAGTTTATGAAGAGATACAGATAACAAATGTATAACACTCTTTACCTATCACCCTATCAAGCGTATATATATATATATATATATATATATATATATATGTATATATATGTATATATATATGTGTATATATATGTATATATATATGTATATATATATATATGAATATATGTATATATATATATATGAATATATGTATATATGTATATATATATATATATATGTATATATATGTCTATATATGTATATATATATATGTATATATATGTATATATATGTATATAAATATATATATATATGTATATATATATATATATGTATATACATATATGTATATATATATGAATATAAATATATATATATATATGTATATATATATGTATATAAATATATATATATATATATATATTTGTATATATATATATATATGTATATAAATATATCTATCTATATATATATATACATATATATATACATATATATATACATATATATATATATATACATATATATATACATATATATATATATACATATATATATACATACATATATATATATATATATATATATATATATATATATATATATATATATATATATATATATATATATATATATATATATATATAGTTTTCCTTTTTCTTGATAGAATCTATTTTTTCTTTTCTAAAAAATAAGAAACAATATTTGTTTGCATTTTTGCTATTCTTATTACTGTATTTACTAAAAAAGTAAAATTATTTCTTTGAAAATTAAAGACAAATATTTTACATTTATAATGTACATTGCAATTCGTTTTCAAGGTTTTTTTTTAATGAAAACAAATAAATTGCACACACACACACACAAATCTAAATTAATTTCACTAAGATTAATAACTATAGCTATAGGTGGGTGCTTCAAATATGTTTAAAATATCAATATCTAAATGCTGGAAAATAAGCTTATGATTCATTCGAATATTCACTAAGTCTATAAGTATTTATTGCTTACTAACGTCGTATTACGAAAGTACGCGAAGATTGTTTCTCCCGCGTGGACATCGTAATTTTAAAGAGTGACCAAGTGAACTTGGGCTGGGAGCCAATGTCAGAATTTCAAAACATTATCAACATAAGAACTCAAAACTTCAACAGCTTTATCATGCTTCACAATGAACTATTAGCCGCACTGGGACTAGAAACCTCGATTCTGAAGAAAAAAAATGCCGGTCGCATTCTCCATGTAAAAAATGAATCTTAGTAAATTTCAAAATCATTTCAAAAGCACTGATTTCTAACTGCTTCAATGAAAACGAAGTACGCTTCTTCAATGAACTATAAATATGTCCTCAGTAAAAGTTATAATTTACTTAAAAGCTTCATGAAATTTGTAGTTAACATTTAATTATTTCTCTTTAAAAATAAAGTTTATATTTAAATGTTATTTCAAAGATAATTATATAAAAACGTTTCACATATTTATAACTTTACAGTTTTACTACTCGGTTTTATTGTACAACTTCACTATTTTGCATCTTTTTTACATGCTTTCTGGAAAATTATCTGAGAAAACAATAAATAAATGGACATTGCTTCAAAAATGTGTCAATCGTCAATATAAAGAAATAAGAAATTTGATCATTTTATACATGAGAAAAATATACTTAGCTCTTATAGCGTTCCTTAATTAAAATATCAGGAAAACAAGATAGTTTCAGAAAACACAAATGTACGATTTTTAAAAAAATTAACTATACGTTTAAATTTAAAAAGAATATTCGACGAATATTTTAAGGTATCCGAACACACGTTGAAATGACCAAATTCGGTCAAAACCCATATTTTTTGTTTTTTATTTTATTGAATAGAAATATATTTTGGCTTTATAAAACACACTTTGTTTTGTTTCTCTACTACGTAGAGACCAAGTTACAACCAATTGTATAAAATTATAAAAACAGGAAGTGGGTCTTTAATCTTCCAGAAGGGGAAAGTAAAGAAGTAAATTGTTCAAAATCTAACATGGCAAGTCTGATAATAAAAAATTTTACAAATGTATTTCCATAAAAAAATTTTGAGCCTAGTATTTATATTATTTTTTGAAGAATGTACTAAAATATTTCTTTTTATCGAAATAATTTTTGAGCTATGGTCTGTTATTTATATAATGATCTCATAAAGAGAATGTTACATTTCTTAAAATATTTACTCGATCAGCTCTAAACTTTTTAAATTTTAATAAAACCTTAAAATTTTTGTATAATCTTTGTATTTCTTCATCTAACAATATAATCGTCGAGATTCAGAAGCAACTTAAAAGCCTAAGAGATAAAAACATCTCAATAGATTTTGCATTTGTTCGCGGACACACGGGCGTTCTTGGAAATGAGCGAGCCGATTGGCTTGCAAAAGCTGCAACCAAGCGCAAAATTGACATTGACGTTAATATTCCTAAATCGTTTTACAAGAAGATCACGAATGAAAGAATGATGAAGTCTTGGAACCAAGAATATCTCATTTCTAATAAGGGGAGCATAACAAAGAAATTTTTTCCCACCATTAATAAGAGACTATCATGTCATCATTTTTACACTAACTACAAATTAACCCAATTTCTCACTGGTCACGGTAATTTCAAAAGCTACCTGAACAAATTTAATTTAGCTCCTTCATCTTTCTGTGACTGTAATATTGGTGGCGAGGAAAATGTAGAACATGTGATCCTTCTGTGTTCCAAGTATGTCAGAGAGAGAAAGATCATAAGACTGGCGTTCAAGAGACTCAACATTAATTGGCCACCGAATTTTCACCAATTTCTTTCCACCAGAAGTGCTTTCAATAATTTATGTAAATTTGTTGTAACTGTTTGTAATCCTTCTTAACTTCATTTTTTTAATTGTTTATTTCCCTTGAATGTGTGTTTAATACTTACTTCTGTAAGCCCCGTGTGATACTTTGTGGTGCACGGGGATTTTATAATTGTTTTCAATAAAAAAAAAGCATCTAAATTGTTTTAGAATATTTTTATTGATATAAGTTATTACTTTTCCCTCTTTGAAGTTCTTCAAAAATATTGCTAAAATTTCACTTATAATTGTGATTTTTGTAAAACTTAGATAAATTTTTTTAGTTAAATATTAGTATTTTTTGGCATATTGATACCTAAAGAAGCATTTATAATGTTTTAGTATGTTATTTTTACCTTAATGCTATCTTAATTTCTATATGCGCTATAAATTAAAATAATCTTATAATTTTGTAACAGTTGTTGAAGCATTACTTCACCTTGGAATTCCTCCTAAGTCAAACAAACATTTATAAGTTATTAGAATGTTAGCACTTCATTTAATGAATAACAACTTTTTAAGCATTTTGGTTATTTTCTATATTGATAGAAGAAACATATTATAGACAATATGACAGTGTGTATATACATGGTCAGTATGTATCTAGAAATAGTGTCCAATATGGGTTCATCATTTCAAAGAAATTAGAAATTGATTACTTTTTAAATAACATAAAACTTTTAAAATTAATTAAATGTTCCCATATAAAATTAAACAAATTTTAAAATAGATATTTATACTGGAATCAATGTCATTTGTTTTCAATAAAAAGTATTTAAAACATGGATAACAAGTAATATAGGAAAAATAAGTCAATTCCTACTTAAGTCATCAAAGAAAAATTTTATTTAACTACTTTTTATTAAATAGCTACAGTTAATTTAAATATGTATATACATATGACAGAATCAAAACATTAAGTGACAAAAAAGAAAGAGATTTTCCTTGCAATTTTCCATTTTCCTTTCTATATATGGGATTGGTCAATTTTTTTTGTTTGTTACTATTTTTTTAATTAAATTTAATTATTCTAATAAAATAGTGTAGCATAAAATAAATGATATTCTCAAATCTATGCCCTTTCAAGTGGAATTCGAACCCACGACCCTTGGATAACATGTCCAACGTGCTATTCATTACGCCACAGAGACACAACGAACAATTTGCCTACAAAAATAATAGTCTACAAAAATAATAGTCTGCAGAAATAATAGTCTAACGGCATATATAAAAAAATGCCGTTAGACTATTATTTTTGTTCGTTACTATTTATTCATATTTAAATTTAATTAATGAATTAATATTGGAAAAAAAACTGTATTAACATTAAGTGTCACTAACTTAAAAAAATGTATTTGAACTTGAATGGACGAATAGAGAGTATTTCATTAACGATTGAAAATTTGAACAAGATATATATATATATATATATATATATATATATATATATATATTTATATATATAAAGAGTGTTTTTTTTCCAGGTATAGAAGTTTAAGTTGGCATTACTTTCCAAGATGGCGACCGATTTAACAGCTGTCAATTGATTTATTCTCAGTTTGGTTTGACAATTCATCAAAACGATCATCAAGCAAGGCGTAGATTCGACGAATGGGCACAAAACGATATTGCCGTTGTTCCCGATTTTCATAAGCGAATTTTGTTTAGCAATGAAGCGCACTTCTGGTTGAATAGCTAAGTCAAAAAACAAAACTGCCGGATTTGGAGTGAAGCTAATCCACAAGTGTATGTCGAAACACCGTTACATCCAGAAAAACTGACTGTTTGGTGCGCTTTATGGGCTGGTGGAATCCTTCTTCAAAAACGATGAAGGCAACAACGTTACAGTCAATGGTGATCGGTATAGAGCCAAGATTACTAACTTTTTCTTTCCTGAATTGAACAATCATGATGTCCAGGAGCTGTGGTTCCAACAAGACGGCGCAACATGTCACACAGCTCGTGCCACAATCGATTTATTGAAAGACACGTTTGGTGACCGCCTAATTTCACGTCTTGGACCTGTGAATTGGCCTCCAAGATCTTGTGATTTAACACCGCTAGACTATTTTCTGTGGGGCTATGTAAAGTCATTGGTCTATGCGGATAAGCCACAAACGCTTGACCATTTGGAAGGCAACATTTGCCGTGTTATTGCCGATATACGGCCACAAATGTTGGAAAAGGTCATCGAAAATTGGATGTCCAGATTGGACTACATCCGAGCCAGCCGTGTCAGTCATATGACAGAAATCATATTTAGAATGTAATGCCACAAGATTATCTTTCGAATAAAAATATTCATGTCAATCGAATAATACATCGTTGTTTTATTGCAATTTAAAGTTCTATACCTCTAAAAAACACCCTTTATATATATATATATATATATATATATATATATATATATATATATATGTAAAGGGAGAGAGTGAATCAATAGTAGGAATTGAAAAATAGTTTGTGAAATTTGAAATACAGCTATTTTCTTTTTAAAGAAATCGGTATTTAGTCATATACAGAAGTATATATAATGTTAAATCTAATATAAACCAAAATTTAAAATCATGCATATATTGTATAAAAAAATTTTCCTTTCATACTGAACATAATCATTTAAAATAAATTTTGAAGCTGCTTTAAAAAATTATTTATGTTTTTGAAAGTGTCATTTTGAATAGCGGAAGTGTGTAACGAATGTATTTCTGTAAATTCATTATAAAATCACTTCGAGCACTTGGTATTCAGTCAAAACTCTTCGTACGTTCATTTTATGGAGAAGAATTGAAATACACATCAAAAACAGTTTTTTTTTAAAAAAAAAAGAATGGAAGTTTCTTAAGTAAACTGCAGTTCTAATTATTAATTCTGATGAATCCAAATTAAAAAATTATGTATATAAATGTGAATAAATAGAAAATGTACTTCGAGAATTAACTTTTTCTTAAGTCTGATCGCATATTAGAATTGAGTAAAATTAAATCAAGAATTGCAAATATTTAAGACTCAATTCAATATCAAAATGTGAGTAGAAGTCTTTGAATCCTTTCAGATTAAAACTTTTCTCATTTTATTATTTTTGGAATTAAAAAATAAAACACTCCATTTCTTTTAAGACATAATTATTAATAACGATATTTTGAAAAGAAGAAACAAAATTAAATTTATGCAAAATATATCGATTTTAAAACAAGTACAAATTTTGTCAATAAACAAAAGAAACTTTAATTTTGAATAACACTTAGAATAACGAACAACAGAAAAATTCACAATTCTATATTGTCTATACAAGTTCTACACTGTTCTATACAAGTGGAAATTTTTTGTCAATAGACAAGAATAAAATGAGCTGTGGTTTAGAATAACACTGAGAATAAATAACAACAAAAAAATTCACAAATTCTATACTGTCACTCAAGATTCTAAATACAAATTCAATAAATTCTTAGATGATATGTAATTGGCAATTTTACTTTTCTTTGTTTTCCAGAAACGCTTTGAATAATGCATATAACTTAAAAATATTTGTTATAGCCAAATAGACAAATGAAAAGTGAAGGATTGAATTACAGATTCACTTCAATACTAATAGCATAAAAGATAATTTGATTCAAAATTTTACTATGAAAATAAGTCTATACAGTGATATATGTTATTAGCAGGTTGTCTTTCCTAGACTCATTCAAGTGATCCTATTATTATTTTACGCATGTACAATTATTTATTTACCCTATAAACACTTTTAAAAGTGTAGTTTGAAAAACAATTTTTTACTTGCATTAGTTATTTGCGATATTATTTTTTATTGTCTGAATGAATTAATTTTATTTCATATATGGACTTATTACATTGTTTTATTGCTTTAACTTCTTTAGAACGATAAATCATTTTATCTTACTATAATTTGTTAGATAAAGAGTAAATACAAGATTGGGATAGGAATGCAAAATTTCCATTTCTTAAAAGCCTTACAAGAATGACAGAGCTTATTTGAAATTGATTTAAAACTTAATTTCATTCTTTATTAAATTTAATTAATATTAGTCATTTGTTATGTCACTAATAATGTAATCATTTCGCAGCTTTTAGAAATATTAGTTAAAGTTAGAACCATAAAAATATGAATGAGTTATATTATTCCTTCACAAATGAAACAAATATTCAATAGTACGTAAGCATGTACATGTTTTGTTCATGCGTGAAAACTTAGCAAGAAATAAAAATAGCCGTATTCATGAGCTGAAAAAATTCCGAAACATATCGAAGGGTAGAAAAAAAAGTATCATATATATAATATAAGTACTTCCAATTCAATTATTTCTCTAAAACATTCAAAGGTGCATAAATAAATTTTATAAAAACAAATATTGAAATAAAGGATCTAAATAAGGGTTTTTAAAAATAAAAATGCAAACTTCGTTTAAAATATACATCTTCGTTTTTCAACAAAATTTTTAAAAAAACTATGCAGAGTTTAAAAATTAATATTTTCCGAGAAAACAAATTCTATTAAATATGCAACATCATAAAACTTATTTAAAATTACGTTTGAAAATAAACTGTCACTTATATATATATATATATATATATATATATATATATATATATATATATATATATATATATATATATATATATATATATATATATATATATATAAATTTTCTTACACTTTTATTACGATTCATTACCTAAGATCATAAGATATATTCAAAATAGTTTGTTTTCAAGGGAACCAGTCTTCGTATGATATTTCTACAATGTAAAAAACGAAAATAATTTTAAAAATGACATTTTCATTGTTGAAAAGCCTTTCAAATGGTAGGAATCATGTATCAAACTTATTACGCAGAAAAGTTTAAATGAGGCTTATATGTCTTATTTTTTTAGAGAAATAAAAAAAAATTCTCTATTAGTTTTATGTAGGTACTAGCTGCATGGCCCCGCGTTGCTCGTGCTTTCTCTTTCCTTCATGACGCCATGTGTGTGTGTTTGTACGAGCGAAATGTGAGTGGTTTCTTAAATTATTTCATTAAATTTCCCTTTTTCGAAATTTGTTCCACATTTTTTTTCGATTTAAGACAGCTTTCTTTTCCTTCTCTCTAGTCCGGCATAACACGGGGTTTTTTTAGTGTAGAATTATTGTTACCTCTTCCCTTCATAGATAAAATATAGCTTCAAATTTCGATGTATGACTTATAAAAAAATATTGCGTTAGTTAAAAAATCATTAATGTGAAGCAGTAAAAAGAAAACGATTCTGATGCTAAGAGTAAAACAAAAAACTTTCATCATTTTTTTAATAATAGTTAGTTTCTAAGAAACTAAAATAACAAAATGAATTTCAGATTTTCATGAATCAATCAATCGTTACATACAGTTAGCTTAAAAAATGTCTCTAAAATGTATTTTTATCCAAAATAATACACGATGTACTTTTTACTTAACAAATAATTGATTTACTAATGAAATAGTTGAAATAATTCTTTAAAAAACATACATATATTAATGAAAATCCCTTTTCTATAAGTAATAAATAAAAGAAAAATTTGCAGATAGCTATTGAAACGATTGCTTTTTAATGCATGAATAAACATATATATATATATATATGATGTAAGTTATAAAAAAATGTGTGAGGGAACGCCTAGCTATATATTTACATGTACTGAAAAAAACATTTTGATATTTTATTTTAATTTCATAGTTTTTTACTCCACTGTGTTTAGTAAAATATTTAAACACGTATCGGACGAAAAAAAAGTATATTACACAAAACTAACATATTCATTATTTTAACAATAATTTCCTTCTTAGGTTTTAAAATAATAAAATCTGTTAAAAATGTTCCTTTAGCAAATAATTGTGACATACCGTTTGCTTAAGAAGCAGCAGTAAATAGAAAATCTCGTATATAGATATATAATATATTATTTATATTATATAGCTGGTATACCTGTTCTTTACACGGGTGAATAGAAAACTTAAACATTACAGATTGAAGGATAAAGAAGTTTTAAATGAGTTAATTTTACGTGAATTGCAAATTAAACAAAAAACGAAGAATTTTGCATATCTCAGCAGAACCAAAAAATATATTTGTTAGATCTAATTCCTCCTAGTCCGTAGATCTAATAGCTGATAAAAG